TAATAATAATAATAATAATAATAATAATAATAATAATAATAATAATAATAATAATAATAATAATAATAATAATAATAATAATAATAATAATGATAAAGTTGGAAGGGACCTTGGAGGTCATCTAAGCCAACCCCCTGCTCAGGCAGGAAACCCTATACCATTTTTGACAAATGGCTGTCCAGTTTCTTCTTAAAAACTTCCAGTGTTGGAGCATTCACCGCTTCTGGAGGCAGGTTGTTCCACTGGTTAATTGTTCTTGCTGTCAGGAAGTTTCTCCTTAGTTCTAGGTTGCTTCTCTCCTTGGTTAGTTTCCACCCATTGCTTCTTGTCCTGCCTTCAGGTGCTTTGGAAAATAGCTTGACTCCCTCTTCTTTGGGGCAGCCCCTGAGATAGTGGAACACTGCTATCATGTCCCCCCTCGTCCTTCTCTTCGTTAAACTAGACATCCCCAATTCCAGCAACCGTTCCTTATATGCTTTAGCCTCCAGTCGCCTAATCATCTTTGTTGCTCTTCTCTGTACTCTTTCTAGAGTCTCAACATCTTTTTTACATCGTGGATGCAGTATTCCAAGTGTGGCCTTACCAAGGCATTGTAAAGTGGTATTAATACTTCACGTGATCTTGATTCTATCCCTCTGTTAATGCAGCCTAGCACTGTGTTGGCTTTTTTGGCAGCTGCAGCACACGGCTGGCTCCTATTTAAATGATTGTCCACTAGGACTCAGAGGTCCCTCTCACAGTTACTACTATTGAGCAAGGTACCCCCTATACTATACCTGTACATTTGGTTTTTCTTGCTTAAATGTAGAACCTTACTTTTTTCACCATTGAATTTCATTTTGTTAGATAGCGCCCAGTGTTCAAGTCTGTCCAGTTCCTCCTGTATCCTAAGCCTGTCTTCTGGAGTGTTGGCTATTCCTGCCAACTTGGTGTCGTCTGCAAATTTGATGAGTTCCCCATCTATCCCCTCGTCCAGATCGTTGATGAAGATGTTGAAGAGCACTGGGCCCAGAACAGAGCCCTGGGGCACCCCACTACACACTTCCCTCCATGTAGATGCGGTTCCATTGAGGACCACATGCTGAGTACGGCCGGTCAGCTAGCTACGGATCCATCTGGTGGTGATGCTGTCTAACCTGCATTTTTTTATCTTATCGAGTAGTAGGTTGTGGTCTACTTTGTCAAATGCCTTACTGAAGTCCAAGTAAATTATATCCACAGCATTCCTCTGGTCCACTAGTTTTGTCACTTGGTCAAAGAATGCAATAAGATTTGTCTGGCATGATCTGTTTTTGACAAACCCGTGTTGGCTTTTAGTAATGACTTTGTTTGCCTGTAGGTGTTCGCTGATTCGTTGTTTGATTATCTTTTCCAGAATCCTCCCAGGTATTGAGATCAGGCTGATAGGTCTGTAATTTCCTGGGTCCTTTTTTTCCTTTTTTGAAGATGGGAACTGTTGTGTCCTGGGCCTGCGGCAGCAGGCTCGGACGTTGTCATGGCAATGGGCTGCTGAAAGCTGCCCGGGGCCAGACAAACCGGCGCCAGCCTACGCGCATTCGCAAGGCACCAAGCGCGCGGGAGGAAGTAACAAGTTTACCTGGACAGTTTGTTGTTGCTGTAAGAGCGAGGACAGAGGTCTGTGTGCCTCGGTCAGTGTCTGAGAAGCTCGGAGGACGAATAAAGAAGGTTCCTGTTAACAGCATGTCTGTCTCTCAGTTATTGTCAACACAAGGACTTAATACTGGCGACGAAGGTGGGATTCAACTTGCAAGCTGGAAAAAAAAGCTGTAAGTCTTACCTGAGGAGTCCTTGGAGCGAGGAAGACGGCATCAAGCAGCACCTGGCCTGCCAGTACAGCGTCGCTGGAGGTAAGCTGGCTGAAAGACCCCTTCCTAACTAGATTACAAGATGGCAAAAATTGGGAGACTATCAGAATTTGATGCAAGCTGGCCAGAAAGGTGGGAGAGTAGAAACGTATTTTAAAGTCAATCAAATTAGAGAAGATGGCCTTAAGGCTGCAACCCTGCTTTGTGTATGTGGCCAAGATGTATTTGAGATTGCAGAGAACTTGGCAGCACCTGCTCCTCTAGAGTCTGTAACTTACACAGACTTGAAGAATTTACTGAGGGAGCATTTTCAACCAGAGATGTCTATAATGGCGTGGAGACATAATTTTGAACAGAGAGATCAGAAAGCAGGGGAATCAGCTAAAGAATTCCTTGCAGCACTGAGAAGAGCAGCCAAACCCTGTGACTTTAAGGATTTAGAAGAGAGGCTCAGGGACCGTTTTGTGTGTGGGCTAAGGAACAGAGGCCTACAACAAAAACTTTTTGCAAAGAAAGACTTATCATTCCAAGATGCTGTGAGAGAGGTCACGGCTGAGGAGGCGGCAGGCGGGGCAGTCAGGCACATGCGGCCTAATAAGAACGGTGCAGAAGAAGCTTCTGTGCACCTGGAAGAAGCGCACGAAGACGCTGAGGAAGATCCTGAAGAAGAGGTGGATCATCTTTTCCCATCTACAGAAGGGAAGAAAAAAGGAAGCAAAGACAAAGCTTCAACAGGGCCCAAATGCTTCAGGTGTGGAGGTCGCCACAAGAGGGCCGACTGCAAGTTTCGTTCAGCTGTCTGCAGAGCATGTGGAAGGAAAGGCCACATAGCAGCTGTTTGCCTTGGACAACAGAAGGTACAACATCGAGAAGAATTGCACCTGAAAGGTACTAACGTCCCTAGCCAAAACAGGGTGGGTTTCTGCGAGTCAAGCAGAAGTGTTTGCAGAACAGGTACACACAAGCCACTCAAAAAGAAGCTGTCTCTTAAGGTGAGACTGCAAGGAGTTCCCTTAGTCATGGAGCTGGACACTGGATCCGCTCTTTCAATTATCTCTCTGCCTACATTCAGGAAGATCTGCAATAGCAGTGGGTTTCAGGTGAAACTGAGGCCTTCCAATATAATCTTCCAAAACTCTAAAGTGTGTGTAAAGGGGGAGGCCACCCTTAAGGTACAACACAAGAGTTTTGAGGGTCCCCTGGATGTACTGGTTGTTGGGGGTGACAGAACGAGTCTTATAGGACTCGATTGGTTTGAGGCCTTGGGAATTCAGGTCACAGGGTTGCACAGTTTGCAAACAATGAACCTAGCAGGAGTCTGCGAGGAGTTTGCAGATGTGTTTAGTTCAGAGCTAGGATCATACAAGGGGCCTCCAGTTTCATTGAGGCTTGACCCCAATATCACACCCATTAGGGTAAAGGCTAGAAGAGTGCCATTTGCTCTAAAAGGAAAAATTGATGCTGAGTTGGATAAGTTGATCCAGCAGGGCATCTTAGAGCCTGTGGATTCAAGTCCATGGGAGACCCCCATAGTCACGCCTCTTAATGCTAATGGAGACATCCGTATATGTGCTGATTATAAGTGCACTATAAATAAGGCATTACAACAGCACGCATACCCCGTCCCAGTAGTCAGCCACATTCTGGCTTCACTTAAGGGAGGAAAGATTTTTGCAAAGCTTGACTTGGCTCAGGCATATCAACAGTTACCTGTTGATAAAGCAGCTGCTGAGGCACAGACTATTGTAATGCACAGGGGTGCATTCAGAGTGAAAAGACTACAATTTGGGGTGAATGTCGCACCAGGCATATTCCAAAGCGTTATGGAGAGCACACTGAGGGGCATTCCTGGGGTCTGCCCTTATTTCGATGATGTTCTCATTGCTGGAGAATCCATGCAAAATCTAGCAGAAAGATTGAGGGCTGTGCTGCTGCGCTTCAGAAGAGCAGGTTTAAAGCTAAAAAAGAACAAGTGTAAAATAGGGGTTACTTCTACAGATTTTTTGGGATTCAGGATAGATGCCCAAGGCATTCATCCTGCGGAGTCTAAGTTGAAGGCCATACAGCAGGCTCCTCGCCCTAAGTCAAAGGGTGAACTGCAGGCTTTTCTAGGCCTTCTTAATTTTTACAATGCTTTCCTACCTCACAAGGCTGCTGTGGCTGAGCCTTTACATAGGCTGTTAGACAAGCAAGCAGTCTGGCAGTGGACCAAGGTCCATGAAC